TTCGGATCCCATATAGGGATGGCCGGTTTGCTCAATGGGTGAGCGTGGTGCTGACAACACCAAGTCAAGGGTTAAGATCTTTTAAAAAAAAAAAAAAAAAAAAAAAAAAAAAAGTACTGTGTTTGAGCCAACAGCTTTTCTTCATGGCTGCAAACATCTTCTTGGAAGCTCCTCCATGGGTGAAGTGCCCTGTGGTAGGCAGAATAATGATCCTCCTCAAAGATGTCCATGTCCTAACCCCTGGAATCTGTGGTTCTGTTACCTCACATGGCAAAAAGGATTTTTCAAATGTGATTAAGGTTAAAGATCTTAATATGGGGAGATTGTTTTGTATTATCTGGGTGGGCCCAATGTAATCATGAATCTTTAAAATTGGAAAACCTCTCCTGGTTGTGGCCAGAAAGACTATGCCTATGGAAGCTGGGTCAGAGATGCCACATTGCTGGCTTTGAGGATGGAGGAAAGGGTCCATGAGGAAAGGAATTCAGGCAGATTCCAGAAGTATCTGGAAAAGAATAGGAACGATTCTCCTCTAGAACCTGCAGAAGGAAACACAGCCTTGCACACACATAGATTTTAGTCCAGGGAGACCCAGGTCAGACTTCTGGACTACAGAACTGTAACATAATAAACATGTGTGGTTTTAAGCCACTAAATTTGTGGTAATTTGCTACAGCAGCCATAGAAAACAAACATTGGCCTCAACTCTAGCCCACCCATGTAATCCCCCTTACTTTCTGAGCAGTAGTGGCTTCTAGGGATTTGCAAATGTTTGTCTTACATTTGAATCACTTTCCTGTTCTTGAATAACAGGCAGAATGGGAATTTGGAAGAACTTCATTACTAGAGAAGGTGAGAAGAATTTAGTGATAGTTCAATAGCTTTGTTACCCAAGTTTTCCGGCTTTGTTTTTTGTAACTCACATTTTTTTTTTTTTTTTCCCAAAAAGATGACCGGTAAGGGGATCTTAACTCTTGACTTGGGGTTGTTAGCACCACAGTCAGTCAGTGATCTAACTGGCCATCCCTATATAGGATCCAAACCTGTGGCCTTGGTGTTATCAGCACCACACTCTCCCGAGTGAGCCACGGGCTGGCCCTGTAACTCATATTTTCATCCCAACACCCAGCAGAGGAACTGGCAAGTAGCAATGTTCAATGAACACTTGTTTATCCGAAATCAGTTCTGGCATACTGCCATGGAGGGCTATGTAAATAGCTACTTTAAAGAATATCCTCAAAAAAAAATTTTTTTTGGGTGGCTGGCCAGCAAGGGGATCCAAATCCTTAACCTTGGTGTTATAACACTGAGCTCAACCAACTGAGCTAACTGGCCAGCCAAATCCTCAAATTTTATTAGATAGGGTATGCAAGTACAACATTTAGGTTTTCAACATTTCAGTGATTAGCATTCAACAACTGTAGAGACTACAGTTAACAACTTATTGTATAGTTTCAAATGCCTAGTAAGAGGATGTTGAAAGTTCCCAACACAAAGATATGACAAATGATTGAGGTGATATGCTAATTACCCAGCTATACTCACTGCACACTGTATAAATGTACCCAATATCACACTGTACTCCATAAATATATATAATTATCATGGGTCAATTAAAAAATAAGTTTAAAATATTCAGAGACAGAAGTAGATTAGAGATTAGCAGAAACTGGAGGGAAGGAATCATGGGAAGTTAATGCTTAATGGGTACAGAGTTTATGTTTAGGATGATGAAAAAGTTTTGGAAATAGATAGAGGTGATGGCTGCACAGCATTGTGAATGTGATTAATTCCATGGAATTTTATGTTTTAAAATGATTAAAATGGTAAGTCTTATGTTACATATATTTTACCACAATAAAAAAAACTTCAAGTGAGAGAAGTGGAGACAGAAACATCTTCGATATCTATATTTCAATGCCTGAATATCCTACAGTCATACAGTGAAATGTATCATGTTAGCATTAAAATGAATTGAGGACTTTCCTATCATTAAATATAATAGGAAACTATATCCAGGATATAGTAAGTGAAAAGGAACAAGCTGCACAGCAAAAATATATAGTACATGCCAATTTTTAAAAAGCCCAGCCCTCATTTGGTACTTCATGTAAGTTTTGCTAATCACTCAGTTACTTTATACAATGTAAATTATCTTTTATTCTTCCCTTTAAACTATTAAAAACTGCCAGGAAACCATATGGCTAGGTGCCAGGCAACCTGATTACCTGAGGAAGGAACATGTTACTATAGTGTGGTTATCCCCCACCCCACTTGATAGCGTCATGAATGCTGCAATTTACTTACGCAAGTGGCTCTACTGAGACTGTGTATGTATACGTGTGTATGCATGCATGTTACATATGAACAGAGAAAGCAAATGTGCTGAAATAGCAGCAAACTAACATTTCTAGGAGTACCTGTTCTGCCATTTGTTCAACTTTTCTGTATGTTTAAACTTTTTCAAAATAAAAAGCTAGGGAAAATAAACGCCACCTAGACCTTAAGCACAAAACTTAGTGCAAGCAGATTTAACAGACTGATTTGACTGGCATAAAGTGGATGATGGCTGCTTGATTTTATAACTTTTAAAACTGTCCACATTAACTGTATTCTTCTAATATTTGAGAAATTTATAGGTATATGATTTTCTGATTTCTCTTTATATTATTTCTTAATGTGCAAGCTATGAAATCTAGCTTTTTCTTTTAAAAATAAAAACACGAGGGTTCAATTATAGTTTTCTTAATTTTTCAAAATGTTCCAAAACAGGGCTATGTTCTAGACACCAATTTTATACAACTCTACTTAAGAACTAGGCAAAACATAGAACTAGATAATGGATAATATCAACATAATATTTTATAGGTCCCCATAAATTTCTACATGCATATGCTTGTTCTTGAAATGCAATAATAGAAAATATACTGGCTTTTCTGCAATCAGATCGCTACTACACTGAATTTTCTTTTTCTTTCATGAAGCTTTGATGGGCTTCATTATGATACAGCTCTCCTAAGCATAAAACTCCCTCTAAAGACTACCAAAAACCACTGAAGAGCTGGCCGATTACCTCACTTGTTTAATGCTGATGTCAGCAAAGTCAAGAAGTGGTGGACTAGCAGGTACAAAACATGCTGTCTCTCTCATGTAAATCACTGTGTGTGTATGCATGTACTGAAACGACATTGCACCCCACAAATATGTACAAGTGAACATAAAAATTACAAAATAAAAAAACCACTGAAAACATCAACTTTGTGTTCAGAGTTGGATATCATACTTAAGAACTATGAAACATAGGACACCCTACAGAGAGCAGCTCCAAGACCAATCTACCCTGCATTCGCTGACTAAACTAAAGGACCTGGCACCCACAGCAAGCCTGGGCTTCGGCAATTCTCCAACACGTCTAGATGCCTAGGAGCACCCAGTCTTACCAACTGCTTTACTTGATGAAGCCTTTGTCTAATCCACCCACTCCCGGCCTCATTTAAGACAGAGATTTAAGCATAGGCAAAACAACATTCCCAGGTTCCACTTTAAAACAGGGCTTTGTTGATTTTCATTGTGATCCCCGTAGCATGTTTAATGATTACCTGGTTCATATGTGGATTCTTAATGAGAAAAGGTACAAATTACTGTTGAAAATAAATTATATTGTCTATGTGACCACTACCTAATCCAGAAAAAAAGGGTAATGAGCAGCTTGAGGAGATACATATGTGAGTAGTACTTACACACATACATACAAGGGGTCTTCAAAAAGTTAATGGAAAGATTCATATTATCTTTTAATTCCATTTTCCCACAACTTTTTGAAGTACCCTCATATCTATGACAGGTATCCAAAGCATCAATGTCCATGCTTGCTTTATTACTTCTAAAAATAAAGGATACTATAGCTGAATAAAACTGTAATAAAACTAAGATTTACACAGATAAAACCCTTTTAAAGGCAATGCTAAATTCAGACTGAGAATGGCTGGCTCATACATCTATAATCAAAGCAATTTAAAACACTTGCATTTATTCATACTAAGGCATGCAGAACTTGGAAGACTATAATATACCACATAATGTTAAAATACTGACCCAATGAGAAGTACGTATTGCTATACACTATTTCAATTTTTCTTGGACTGAAACAATAAATGCTTCAACACAGCTTGTGCAAATAACCTGCTAGGCTTTGCTATTGCTTCGTGAATAACTCCTGATGGCTGAAAGGAATTACTGACCCCACCAGCTAACAAAAAGTCAGTATACCAAAATGAACACGCTTCAATGTGAAGTTTTAAAATGCTACCAGGAAGTCAAATAATTGTCTATTTATTAATTGTTCACTGAATTTTATAATGTTCTACTAGATCTAGCCAAGAACTCAAATACTCACTGACGATCACCTGATTCTTCAAGGAACTTTCAAGATACCTGTTCCCCCAACCCCCTTGCTGGACCATAGCTCAGACATGGAAAATGGTCAGAAGGGTCGAGATTTCAAAGAAAAATTCCTGCAAAATATAGTACAAAAATAAGTCCACTTTCTTTCCCTCTCCTCCCCCTGCAACATTCCTTCTGAGATCAGCAGTTTTCAAAGGTTACTGGCATTGCCCCACAGGGTCCTCAATTGAAAGACTAGGGTCCCTAGTCCCATGCCCCAGAAATTCTGATTCTGTAGGCCTGGGGAAGGAATGATATCCTCAGGTGACTCTAATGCAGGTAGAGCTGGACCACTCTCTGAGAAATACCACTTTAAAGACACATTTTTCCTCCTGGGATATGAATTACACAGACTTTTAAGTACCCAACATTTCTCTTTATAAATATGAATCTTCACGAAGACGATTTCCTTAAGCGCATAATCTGTTTAACTCAATTCCTCTCAATAGGCCTGCCACCGAGGAAAACACCAGCATTCAGGACACACTCTACATGAAAAGTAGTTAAGATTTAGTCATCAGTATTAAAAAAAAAAAAAAAAAAAAAGTTCAACAGTATGCTTATCTTAATCAGAGGTTTCCAACACATTTTATTTTGCAGACCACTGGATTGTAGCTTTTGAGGACCATCATCTGTATAAGTTCCTATAAAACGTCCAGTTAATTTCAGTCCTGTCGCAGTCTCTTCTGTACTGCATGCCATATTCATTGCTGGAGGAGTTCCAGTTACACGTGCATCAAGGCTGCCCGTTGGGTCCTGAGGGAGGGTGCATCCAAGTTCAAGCCTCTTGCAGGCAGCTTCGTCTTCCCAGTGATGGTTTCCCTTGGCAAGAAGTCGATCGGTTCACCCGTGCGGCTTTGGTGCCTGTAAGCAGGAAGCATTCAGAAACTTGCAGAGATGTGGTGCTTTTTCTCTAATGCAGACAGACACTTGAGGATTCAGTGCCCTTGTGCTTAATGACAGGAATCCCTCCTAATTGTTTAATAGATTAAAATATAAGGAAGCCTCTGTTTCTAAGTAACACAGGTAACACCTTTTTAGACTGCCTATTTGTTCTAGAACTACAAAATTTAATCCAAGAAAATATAGGTCCCATGAAAGACTTAAAAGTTTTATAAAACTAAAATCTAGTCTTCCCCATTAAATTGTACTTTAGGCAAAACCCTCCCAATGCTTCTAAAATAATACTAAAAGGGGCATCTGATTATACAAGAGCAATTAAAAAAATTAAATATTTATTTGAATAACAAGTTTTAAGTTTGAGCTGCAAGTTGGCAATGCAGATTTTTTAACACAGATCACAAAAAGCGTGCACAAAAAAGTACTGGCGCGAAGGACAAAATAATGCTAAGAATTAGGCTAAATAGCTGCTGATTTCAAGAAAACAAAAGCCCTGAAATCACTATACAAAATATAAAATGTATTAAACACTACCATCCACAGAACAGTCTTTATTATTGATTATATTTAAAAATTATTTGTGTAGTTAATTATATACTGAATTGTAAATGAGTATTATACATGAACCCTCTTTCGGAAGGCAATTCCTTGTTGCACTATAGAACATCTAATTACATTGCAAAAAGTATCTTTTTTTTTGCTATCAATAAGGAAAACCGTTAATGATATTACTGTAAATATCAGGAAGGCAACAAAAAAAGAAATAAAATTTCTTTTTTGTCTTCAAAAGTGCTTTCCATGCAGAGTGAAGCACTTGCCTTGTTGGACTGAATGCACTATTGGAGAATGTCCTGGGTCAAAGAGATTCTCTTGAATGATAAAACTAGGCTTCACAAATCAAAGACTCAAAGGAATCATGCAACCCTCTTACTTCTGGGATACCATCATGTCACTTACCAATTCTGACTTTCCAGAATACCATTCAAGAAACTTAAAAAAAGATCAGACTTATGTGATAAATATACATAAAATGAAAAGACACAAACTGCAATTTGACACTACTATTGGTAATGTCTGTGCCATGTGAAAGCACCTTTAAAAAGAGCCTATGCGGCAAGAGATAAGTGTCTAAAGATTCAAAATGAATCAACAGTATTGGATAACAATATAATTTTCAACTCAGAAGCTGCCTCAAGATTAGGTGCATCTTCAGTTAATGTAACAGGAAAAAAAGGCAATGGATTTTATTTTATTAATTGTATCCACTCACAAATTGACCTAAGGTCACCAGATGTGTAGACACAATGAGATTTTTGTTGTTGTTTATAGTCTTTAATTGAAGTGATGATAAAGGAAATAGATCTATTTAAAAACAAAACCAAACAGCTATTTCTGTCTAGATTAAGAGGTGGCACCAGGTGTGGGATTCACATTTTGAGTGGCCACTTGCGGTGCGACTTCGATGATCCGGGGTTTGTCTATGATCCTGGCGGTACGGTTGCCCTTCTCTACAATCCCAATAATCCATGCTTGGTGCCCTTCACCATATTTGGGGGACTTTATCTCTGCACAGAACCGAGCTGCTTGTTCACGTGGTAAACAGATTAGAAGACCTCCTGGCAAAGGAAAAAAAAAAAATCACCATTAGTTGTGACACTACAAGAGCCTCTATCCTTCTAAGAGACTCCAGCACAGATCTAAGTTCAATCAACAAGTTGTCTATATGCGAGTTGCTCTTCCTATTCAACTAAGAAGCCTGCTATATTCAGTAGAGTAAATAAGCAATTTCTGGGTAAACTTGTACTGTAATAACAAACATGCACACAACAAACTTCAAATGTTGAAAATGACCTATTTGAGAATCATTTAATGCTGGGTAGGAGTAAGCTGCTCGGGGCCTCAATAACATATGGGGTCGCTATTTTTTCCATGCTACAATGAAAGAAACATTTGCAAAAAGATAGCTTTTCTTTTCCAATTTGGTTCTCTTTATGGATTCCTCATCTTACCAAGAATGCTTTTCTGTATTTTTATTTTTACATTAAGATCTGTGAAAATGAGTGTTGCCTTAAAGTATCTAGGTTCCAGTCCAGCTCTATTATTATCCCAAAATAGAATATGCACAAAACACATTAAAATAAACCTTTGTTGTTATTTCTAGTAGTTAAGCCAGAACATTTTTTATATTTCTAAGTAGAAATAACACAATCTAGAATTTATACTCTACTTTTAAAAAAGTAAAAACTTCCCATTTCTGAATAAAGAAAACGTTTTATTTATTTGTTTATTTATTTTTTTAGGAAACAAATTTAAGGGATTGGTAATCTTCATTAATTCATTCAAAATTTATTCAGTGCCCACTAGACAACAGGGAAAAAATCTCTACCCTCTTGGTGCTTACTTTTAGAAAACAGAATTTTTTTAAAACTGAGAAGTTGAAGGGTCCTCTACAAAGATTGTGAGAGGTCTACCAGTGTTCTGAAATCCCAAACCACTACCCAGGAGCTAAAATAGGCAGGGCTTCATAGTCCGAGCAGTGTGGTCCCTGCCCTGGCCCTATACCAGAACTGTCCAGGGAGCTTTCGGAGTTACTGGCCCACCCCAGATCGATTACATCAGGTTTACTGGGGGTCAGGTCTAGACATATGTATTTTTTAAATCCCTGGGTGATTCCACTCTTTCACCAGGATAGAAAACTAAAATTAAGAGGAAAGGAAACAGAAATAAGAGAGAAAGTGAGAAAAAGGAAAAAATAGGAAACCTTAAAAGATGGAACAGAAGAGTCAAGGTAAAGGGAAAAGAGAAAAATGGGGCAAAAAGAAAAATGGCACTTTGAAGCCATACTACTTCTTTCTTAAAACAATAATTTTAGACATTTTTTCAGAGAAAAAATATAGCTGCTCAGTGTAAATCTATGGGTGTTACAGTTTATTTCAAATACTAAGTTTCCAATGAAAATTGAGTAATGCCTTACTCTTCCCACATTCTCTCTCTCCCACCATCAACCATATTCCTACACCAAAAAGGAGAACACAGGAACGCTCCAACTAAAAATCCTGCTTGGTCAGAGGATAGTGACGGGGTCTGGAAGCCACAGCAGGGAGGACCAGGCTACCAGGACTGACCTCACCCCAGCTGTGGTCATACTCATGTATGGCCTTTGTCCTTTGCAGGAACCTTCCATCAGCCTTACGAGTCTACTCCTCAGAGTGGGCCCAGCGTCCCGGTACCTGATGTCTCTGGGCAGGTCCCGTGCATGAGGCCAAACATGTTCCCACAGGCCTTGCTCACGGCAGCCATCTTGGCTAGCACGGGAAGGTTGTGGATCACAAACGACACCTCGTTCCTCTGTTGCTTGGCCAGGTTCTGCGCGTGGCCCAGGATCCCAAAGCCTGTGATGTCAGTGGCCGCGTGGGCGTTGAATGTGTGCATGAGCCCTGCAGCTGAGAGAGGGCAGAGCAGTGACATGGAGAGAAAACCACCTGTCCTCAACTCAGACTCTCACCTTCACCAGTGACCTGCAAACTCCCCATTTGTCAGGGACATGGCACAGAGGAACAATGAAAATGTAAGGTAAAGCCAACAAAAACCAGAGTGGATTCTGAAAGGTGATTTCTTATTTCAATCTGAACCACTTGGAACTTCTCAACAGCTTCAATCAACAGTAATTTTCCAGAAAACAACAACAAAACTCTACAGAGGAATTACCATCTCAGTGGAAGGTAAACTTGTCAAAACCATCCTAAAATCAAAGAACAGGACTTTTTAAGAATGCCTGACTTAAAATCCAAGGTATTCTCACTAAAGATGAAAGTTTAATTTCTTTTTTATTTAAATAGAAAAATTCAGACTTTATTTTATGGAGCAGTTTTGGGTTTAGAGAAATTGAGTAGAGTGCAGGGAGTTCCCACATTTCCCCCCCCAGGTTTTGCCTATTTGACATTCTGCATTAGAGCATGCACTGGATACTGGATAAGTCAATTGGATAAAACTGGATAAGACTAACACGTTACTATTAACTGAAGTTCAGTTTACCTCGGGGTTCATTCACTCTGTGTTGTCAATTCTGTGAGTTTTCACAAATGAGTAATGGCATGCATTTAACATCACAGCATCACACAGAGCAATTCCACTGCCCTAAAATAAAAGTCCGCTGTGCTCTGCCTGTTTACCCTCCTCTTCCCAACCCCTGGCAACTGCTGATCTTTTTACTGTCTCTAGTTTTGCCTTTTCCAGAGTGTCATATAGTTGGATTCATACTGTATTCTAGCCGTTTTCAGAACGGCTTCTTTACAGGCATTTAAGGTTCCTCAGGTCTTTTCACAGCTTGATGGCTCATTTCTTTTTACTGCTCCATGATATTCTACAGGGTAAATGTGCCACAGTTTGTTTATCCATTCACCTACTGAAGGACACCTTGGTTGCTTCTAAGTTTTGGCCATTATGAATAAATATGCTTATAAACATTTATGTGCAGGTTTTTTTTTTTTTTCCTTTTTGTCTTTTTTTTTGTGTCCGGCAACGGATCGCAACCCTCAGTGTCGCGCCAGTACCGGACCTGGACCGGCAACGGGATCGCAACCCTCGGCACTGCACCCGCACCTCGCTCAGTCAGTGAGCGGGAACCGGTTTGTATGTGGGATCCGAACCCTCGGGGGGAGCGCCGTGGCGCTCCCAAGTGGCGCACTGTAGCAGTGAGCGCACTGTAGCAGTGCGCCACCGGGCTGGCCCTATGTGCAGGTTTTTGTGAGGACCTGTTTTCACCTCCTTTGGGTAAACGTCAAGGAGCACAACTGCTGGATCATATGGTCATAATACATTGCAGTTTTGTAAAAAACTGCCAAACTGTCCTCCAAAGTGGCTATACCATTTTGCATTTCCACTAGCAATCAGAGAGTTCCTGTCACTCCACGTCCTTGGCAGCATGCCTGGCATGCCAGATGTCAGGACTTCCAACAGACCCAGGAGAATGCTTTCTTCTCAACTACAAAGCATAACTCGTGCTCCCTATACACGTATGAAAGCCAATAAAAACTATGAGTGTATGATGCTTAAACTGCAGCAAGTGATTCCCTTGGCAAGCTTTTTTCTAATCCAAGTCACATTTAACACTCATTTCTGCCCAGAACGTGCAATGTATTTGGATTCCCATTAGTGATCTTCAGAACCTAAACCAGGTACCAAGAGAAGACCTCTGTAGTCACTGGCCAAATCTAGCCCATGGCCTGTTTCCCCAGCTAAGAATGGTTTTTTCATGCTTAAAGAGTTGTGGGGGGTGGCGGTGGGGGGATCAATATGCAACTGAAACAGTATGTGGTCCATAAAGCCTAAAGCACTCCCCCTCTAGGCCCTTTTCAGAAAGTTTGCCAACCCCTATGACAGAGGAGCCCCCAACCCCCATACCTGTCCTGTTGAGCCTGGCCATATTCATCATCGCCTCTTGGTATGCCAACTCAACATCTTCTTGGGTGACCACTAATTTAATTTTATTCCATTTTTCAGGCTAATAATAGAAACATAGGTAAGGGAGAAAAGAGGGGAAAATGTGATTAATCTTCACTTCTAGCCACTGACAAAAAGAGAAGCTTTCTACTTAGTCATCTTCTGGGGAATTTTATTTATCTAGTTTTGTACAGAAAATGAAGTTTTCTAACTCTTTTGCTTCTCTGTGATGATTATTTTAAGTGTCCATTACACCAATAATCATGGTTTCTTTTCTGTTCTCAGCCCACATTTCTGTAATCAATACTGCGGTCCACTGGATGTGCAGAACCTGGCAGCACATACAGCTGCACTGTTTTAAACACTCAGCTACAGTCAGTGCCTCTTCAGCAGGGTGTAAATCACATTGTTAGTAGCTCTGAATGTCCTCTGATTTCCCTCCACTTCCCCTACTGAACTGATAGTTTTCATTTTTCATGTTCTAATTATACTTTTTCTGACTTTAACTGAATTCTGGAGTCAAGCTATCTTGATAGACGATGAATGTTAACACACCTTCAATTGCATGTGTACTGAGGACAGTCTTAGGTGACCTGAAAGGATGTCATAACAACAAAAGGGCTTTCTCTGCTTTCTTCAGTCTGACTTGTCAAAGAATCTAGCATCATGATGGGTTCACAGTACCCTGTCTTCATGGCCCATTAATTGCCCCCATTCATGCATCCTCTTATTTTCTAATATAAAGAATTAATAATATAAAGATAATATAAAGAATGCCCAACAGCTACCACCCAATGCAATAACCAAACATCAGCATAACTTTAGTCAACCCTCATCCCATTGCCCCCGTCTCCTCCCCAGAATAACAACTGTTCTGAATTTTGTATTTACCATTATTCTGCCTTTCAAAAAGTAGTATTCTCCTAATATAGGTGGCCTAAACAATATACTCTTTGGTTGTTTCTGACTTTTATAAAAAGCATATTGTGCTGTTACATAGCCTTTGGAACTTGCTTTATTTGATTCTGAGCATTTTTTTAAAAAACTGGTTAAAAAAACGGGCAAAGATGGTGCCAAGCTGGGGTGGGGAAAACAGAAGGATCCCACACCCCTCCTCTTTGACACCTCCACCTGGCCTGCTCCAGTCTCTCGCTAGATTGTTCAGGCCTGGGCAGTTGTATTGGAACATGCCTCTATGATTATCTTCTGTTCTTCCAATCTGTTTCCGTCACTGGGTGAGGAAGGAAAAATACCTAAAGAACGTGGCAGCCTAAGAGAATTTCTCTACTCTGCTATTACAAGCTAAGATATACCTGGTTGATGGATGACATAAAGTTATTTATTATTCTTTTTAAGCTGTTTCTCAGGACTGGTAGTTTCAGATGACAGTTGCAGAAATTAAATGTGCTTTGATATGTGAGAATGTATCACAATCTTATTAATTTGGGAGCTGTTATGGCAATAAAAAAAACACCACAATCTTAAGTAAAGTATGATTATAGCTCGGTGGAAATATCCTCCTATTCTAGATTCACTCTTCAAGAGAGAAGTATTTGTCAAAATGTTCTGACCTACTGATCAGTTTAAAGAGACAAAACTACGAAACAAAAACAACCAAGAACCCCATGACTAAAATAATTTAAATTGTCAATAACCCTTACTTTATTAATACCCCAAACACTACACTTTCTACAAATTCTCCTCCATATTTTTTAGTGATATTTTAAGATGTGAAAGATGAAGCTATTTTAGAATGAAAGAGACGAAGCTAACCCCTTACCTCCCAAATTCTTTGCAGAAAATCGCTCAAGCCTCAAGCTGGGGCTTACCTACATTATTACCGACACACATTCTATATACATGAAACTCATTTAATAAAAGGATACAGACAATCCCCAGGACTTCTTTAAGGACCTGACTGATACGAAACTCCATGGTAGTAATACTACAGGACCTCACTTTCCAAACCCTCCAATGAAAATGCCCACAACCCTGAAAGATTGTTGTCCAGCCCCTGCCCCTCACAAGCGGTGTTTCACTCACGATATCCAGCCACTGGTGCACAGCAACGGCAACTTGTGTCCCCAGGGGCTTTGTCAACACCAGCACGTCCCCTGGCACTGCATTATCCGGCCTGAAGAAAAGAAAAAGCGCATATTCTAGTCAAACTCACCGAGGTCATAAACTCATTTAAAAAAAAAAATTTTTTTTTTTAAAGATAACCGGTAAGGGGATCTTAACCCTTGGCTTGGTGTTGTCAGCACCACGCTCTCCCAGTGAGCAAACCAGCCATCCCTATATGGGATCTGAACCCGGGGCCTTGGTGTTGTCAGCACCGCACTCTCCCGAGTGAGCTACGGGCCGGCCCATAAACTCATTTTATTAAAACAGGAAGAAGGAAAATTCGGTTAAAAACATTTGTTTTTGCACTTATATTTAAGCCAACTACCAACATGTATTAGACAGAGCCTTGTGACTTGCTACCGAGGCTACTGCTGGAACAAAACATTAAAAAGAAAATGGAAGATTCCAGAGATCTAAGTGTATATGGACCAATTACCTAGTAGATTTCAAGGGGGAAGAAAGTGTACAATTCTTCAAAGGATTCATCAGGCCCAGATTTCCCTTCAGCCATGTTTGTGTGTAATTTTCAATACAAACCCTTTTCAGGCAACAAGACTGGGATCCTAACCCGGGGCCGTGGTGTTGTCAGCCCCGCACTCCCCCGAGTGGGCTACGGGCCGGCCCATAAACTCATTTTATTAAAACAGGAAGAAGGAAAATTCGGTTAAAAACATTTGTTTTTGCACTTATATTTAAGCCAACTACCAACATGTATTAGACAGAGCCTTGTGACTTGCTACCGAGGCTACTGCTGGAACAAAACATTAAAAAGAAAATGGAAGATTCCAGAGATCTAAGTGTATATGGACCAATTACCTAGTAGATTTCAAGGGGGAAGAAAGTGTACAATTCTTCAAAGGATTCATCAGGCCCAGATTTCCCTTCAGCCATGTTTGTGTGTAATTTTCAATACAAACCCTTTTCAGGCAACAAGACTTCTGAAACAAAGACTGCCTGTTTACAATCACTTAGATGGTGGAGACCCGGGTGGGATGTGGCTGGAATCTGTGGGTCTGAGATGTTGGTGATTTTCTGCATCCAGGTTCTCAAACTCAGACTGACTAATGAGTTTCCCACTTGGCACCCAGACTCCCTTGGATGGTCCCTGTCTTAAAGACAGAAGGTAAATACTAAAAAGGCAGCCCTAAAAAGAGAGAGACTGATCCCCCAAAGAAAGCGTCTGTTCTATCTGTGTCCTTCCCACCAGGACACGGGCGTCCCGCTAGCAGCTGTCTTGTCTTGGCTCCGAGAGGTCCGCAAAACTGTTCCCTCCCCAGCGCTAGGCTTCTCAAATACAGAAATCAATGAAAACAAAAAAGCCAGGGACACAGACTTCAAGACCAACACCTTGCTCCCCAACTGAACCTATAATACTTGTGTCCACTCTCAGCTTTGAAAAACATAATTCTATGATGACATACAAGAAACTCATTTTCCAAAAACTAAATCTTAAGACATAAATGTCTTTCAATTCTGACTAATCCATACCTTCTTTTTTTTTTTTGTCTTTTTTTCCTGTCCGGCAACGGATTGCAACCCTCAGTGTCGCGCCAGTACCGGACCGGGACCAGCAACGGGATCGTTGCGCCCGCACCTCGCTCAGCCAGTGAGCGGGAACCGGTCTATATGTGGGATCCGAACCCTCGGCGGGAGCGCCGCCTCGCTCCCAAGCGGCTCACTGTAGCAGTGCGCCACCGGGCCGGCCCTGACTAATCCATACCTTAAAGCTGATATGTTCTCATGATTCACTGGTTATGTGCAACCTATGAATTTATATTGACAAGGTAAGTGTGATAAAATTATTGGGCTATTTTAAGTTTATGGGCAACATCTGACAGAAGGTAAATATGTGAACAGGCTCATTTGTCTTTTACAAAGTAAATATACATGCTGTTGGCAAGAAATTCACTGAAGCTTGTTTTATCTTTTTTTCCCCTCTCCAGTGTTTTGCTACCACTAAGTATTTTTTCACCTGGAAAGCTGGAATGGGTGAGACAGACTTTAGGATGTAAGTGGAAAGTTTGAGAACTACTGACATAAAACATATGTTGTGAAAATAAAACCTCAATGTAAGGAGAATGCAAGATCCTTTACAGGAAAGCTGTCAGATACTGGCCCTAAAAGGAGCTTCCATCAATTAAAAAACGGGCAGAAGATATGAAAGTGAAAAATATGCTCAACCTGAATCCTAAGAGTAAGATTAAAACCACCCAGCAGATCAGCAAAGACCCAGCAGTCTGTTAACACACTGTGTTGGTTAAGACATGGGGATCTGGCATGCTCATTCAATGGCTGGTGGAACTTAAACTGGCAGAGCCTCTACGAACTGCAGTCTGGAGACAGCCATCAGAATTATAAGCATACATACCATGTGACCTAGTGACTCTATTTTGAGAAATTTCTTAGCAATAGATTTACACAGGGCTGGCTGGTTGGCTGGTATGGTTAAGAGTGTGGTGTTATAACATCAAGGTCAAGGGTTTGGATCCCCATACCAGCCAACTGCCCCCCCGCAAATAAGAGTCAACACGTGTAAAACGTTCTATGTTACTCTAAGGTTACCCACTGTAATATTACTTGTAACATCAAAATAATTGAAAATAATCTAAATGTCAACAGTAGACTGGTTAAAAATATACAAAACTGGTAAAGAGGGTGCCTCTGGGGTGGGAAACTGGTGGCTCAGGCACAGGTGAAGTCTTCGCACTGCAGATCCTTTTGAATTCTGACCCATGTGAACATAGTACCTATCAGCACCTATTCAAAAAATAAAGAAGTGGAGTTTCTACTTCCCTCAGAAAATAGGGCAGGGCAGTTTTCCTTAATAAGATACCAAACATGGAAAGTGATAACTTGTGTTAATAGAGACACATCTCTAAAGAAGATATAGAAATGGCTGAAAAACATTGAAAAGATGCTCAACATCATTAGTCATCAGGGAAATGCAAATCAAAGACACAATAAGATTCTACTTACAGCCAGAGGATGGCTGTAATCAAGAAGACACTATAAACAAGTACTGGAGGATTGTGGAGAAACTAGAACCCGCAGCCGCTTTAGAAACCAGTTTGATGATTCCTCAAGTTACACAGTTACCACGTGACCCAGCAATTCTTCGGCACAAACCCACAAGAATTGTAACTTAAGTCCACATAAAAAACTTGTGCATGAATGTTCACAGCATAATTCATAGTAGGCAGGAACAACACAAAGGTTCATCAACTGATGAATGGATAAACAAATCATGGTATATCCATACAATAGATTAAAAAAGCCATAAAACAGAATACAGCACTGACTAACACAACAACATGGATGAACCCTGAAAACATTTTGCTAAGTGAACGAAGCCGGACTCAAAATGTCACATATTGCATGACTCCATTTATAGAAAATGTCCAGAATAGGCAAATCCCTAAAAACCAAAAGTAGATTAGTGGTTGCCAGAGGATGGCGGGAGGAGGGACTTGGACATGATTGCTAGTGGATACAGCGTTTCTTTCTGGGGTGATGGAAGTGTTGTCGAACTGTGTAGCGGTGATGGTTGTGCAACCTTGTGAATGGTAAAAACCGATAAATTGTATGCTTTAAAATGCTGAATATGTGAAGTTTTATGTGAACTATACTTCAATAAAAAAACTAATATTTTTTAAGAACAGGATTGAGGTACTGATATATACTACAAAATGGATGAACCTTAAAAATATTATGCTAATACAAAGATACCTCAAAAAGTCCATGGAAAAATAGAACTAAAAGATACTGGTTAGAGTGTGGTGCTGCTAACACCAAAGTCAAGGGTCCAGACCTCCATACTCACCAGCTGTGAACAAACAAATAAAAAGATAATATCAACTTTTCCATTAACTTTTTTTTTTTTTTAAAAGATGACTGGTAAGGGGATCTTAACCCTTGACTTGGTGTTGTCAGCACCACACTCACCCAGTGAGCAACTGGCCATCCCTATATGGGATCCGAACCCATGGCCTGTGTGTTATCAGTACCACACTCCCCCGAGTGAGCCATGGGCCGGCCCCCCATGAACTTTTTTGCAGTACCTTCCTGTTATGCTAAGTGAAAGAAGACAGGGTGGGGGTAGGAGGAGTGCGGAGTGACAGCTAAGGAGACAGGGTTTCTTACTGGGGTGATAACAATATTCTAAAATCAACTTTGGTGATGGCTGTACAACTCTGTGAATATGACAAAAACCATGGAATTATACATTTTAAATGGAGGAACTATATGATATGCAAATTATACCTCAATACATCTATTTTTTAAAAGAGAGGGAGAGACAGAGAGAATGAGAGAGAAACTGGCCAGGGGACATGAAACAAAAATCCACTTACATGATAAATTCATTGGGCTGGCAGACAGTTGTAGCGACTCCTCCCAAAACAATCCAGGGGTTTAAGACCGTTTGGCCACCTGTTACAGACGAAATTCATTGGGCTGGCAGACAGTTGTAGCGACTCCTCCCAAAACAATGCAGGGGTTTGAGACCATTTGGCCACCTGTCACAGACATTCCTGCTTCCTCCGCTGCATCTTTAAAACCCTGTATAATTAGGGGCATCACTTTATCCCTTTCCTAGGGTTTAAAAGGACATAAATGAAAAGTCAAATAATTCCATTCAAAACCCAGAAAAGAGGGCTTTACACTTGTAGTTATAAAAAGGATTATAAAATCCTGAGGAAGTCCTGAAAGCTTACAACATGGCAGTATGTAACAAAAGTTAAGGAATATTTTACATTGTGACCATTTTATCAAATGCTGGAAGATGTTCCAGGTTACAGTGTGAATGAAGCTCAGACAACGGAAGAACGGAGGAAAAGGAATTGTGTGGGACTCGGTCCACAGGACTGGCCCTAAGTCTGATGCCCATGAGAAGGCAGCTCTCTCACGGTCCTCACAGACCTCAAGACTAGCTACACACACAGCCTGCCCTGGAGCAGGCTTCCACCTCCCCACGGAGTGTGAAGACTGGCCAAGTGCTGTGAGGGTCACGGACACTCCAAAGCCCTTGCTAAGAGCAGCAGTGGCAGAAGTGAAAAGATGAACAGGCCAGACTCGTTTAAATTTACTGATAACTGCCAAAAAGTGGAGAGCCAGAAGGAATACTGGAAGCCAGGTGGCCTGGGCTCCTCACTTTCCAGACAGGAAATGAAGTCTAACCAAGTCAAGTGACGTGACCAAGACAACACAGCAGTGAGGAGCTGAGGACCTCCTACTTACCCTGTCGGTCATTTTATTGCTGACTCCAAGGAGCATCAGCATGTTGTCACATTCCGTGACCCCCATTGCATAGAGGTCACTGAGGACATTGGCACATGCAATCCTGCCCTGGGAAGAAAGGGGAGATGTGAGGAAGGACAACCAGGGACTTTCCATCGTAACAACAAAGAGCAAGCCTAGGGTACAGCCTCCAAGAAGAACTTGGGGACTTTCCAGGAAGGGCAGCTACTGGGATGGGTGCACTTTCTACAATCTGCAGACTAGTAACCTATCCTGAATCACACACGCACAGGCTGTTCACTCTTTCTCAGACGTTCCTGTTACCACCTCATTGTTTTTGTGCAGAATAAAAACTTACACGTTCTCCATTCTGAGTATCAGGAGAAGTCTGCAGTTTATTTAGCTAGGGGAGGAGATGTGGGGGGGAATGTCAGTCAGAGAAGCAAGGTTAGAACCGATGGTCTGGGGGAAACAGCCACGGAGTGAAAAAGTCTGAAAACAACTGTCCTAGAGCAACCTTGGGAACAGCCACTCATCCTAAACAGATCCTAAAAAGTGGTGACTTTACTGATTATAGAGAATGAGATGGTTTTAATGCACTTGGATTGAGAAATTTTCGTAACTTCTTTTCAAGGCAGTAGGAAATAAACAGGAAAACCATCTTGTTTAGGACACACAAATAACAGAATAAAAAATATCCAGGGCTGAAGTCAGATTATTTCCTAAAGAGAAGCATCCCAGTAAACTACGTAGTTTTATTAGAAACTTCAAAATTGTATTTAAAAGAAATGTAGTAATAAAGACTTTTTATTGCCATTGGAGATTTAAAAAATTTAAGTTGCCAGTGTATTATTTTCTACAGACAGTAAAGAGAAGATAAATTTTTCTTCTGATATAAGGACAATCAAACTCCAAAATACTACCATTTTCAATGGCTGTTTAATTTGTATTATGTTTTCTTATGAATTCCTGGTAGCTCGACAATGCAGCTTGATAATCGTCTGTAGACCCACTTTCAACATTACCAAGCCAGGCCAACAGGTGGTCTGCAACTTGGAGATGCCAATTACCAGACAGGGTGGCAGCGATTTACTGCCCCTTCTGTTCTGGGTGCACTCAGATGCTTTCAAGAGATGCTGGGAAAAGGATGCATTCTCGAGTCTGGCCAGTTAGCTTAGTTGGTTAGAACACAGCCTTATAACCTCAAGGTCACGGGTGTGGATACATGAATCAGCAAGCTGGATGTGGGGACGGATGCTTTCTGGGTGGGACACCTGGGGTATGGCTTACCTGCCCAGACTCTCAAGAGTATTGCTCTAGAGGAGAGAACAGATGGATGTGCAGAGGGAATACAGGTTTCTAATAACCTGTTTACTTTATCACTGGCACCTAAGAGGTGAACACCCCCCATTTAGCTACCTCATGGCCCAAGTCCCTATGTGTGCAGTTTGATCCCAGTGCCCTTGCCACACAGGAAGGACAACTTTTTATAACAAACGGGATATTCCCAATCTTCACTGGCTCCTCTTGGCTGGTACAGAAGTGGGGTTAAAGGCTGGGTAGTGCAAAGGGTCACTGGCTGCAACCATGCCATGAACAGTTGGGAAATATATCTAAGCACTGCATGATCAACAACTAGGAACTTTAATTCAGTGGTCAGATACATATGACACACAGTGCATATGACACAGTGGTGTGCAGGTGGCTGGAAGTGTCCAGGTATCAGAATAAATGCTCAGGAAGTCTAATTGTGATGAGATGCCAGGCTCCTTTATTTCTGGAAGGAAACAATGAGGATCAGTCCTATTACAGAGAATAACAACACCTGTAGCTTGAAACATTGGAGTGGTGGAGTTTACAAATGTCAAAAAAAGAAAGGTACAAGGAAAGAAAGAACAAAATGACAAAAAGGTGAGTCCACAGACATGCTACTAAAACAAAGGTGTTTTCATGCATAGACATATGCCCAGGTACAAAAGACGGACTTCTCTGCTTCTGCCTTAATTGTGTTATGCATGGTGCCAAGTGTAAGAGAGGGAGAGCCCAACTGCAGCAATTGTGGGGGTCAGGCCAGGGATGGGCTAGTGTAATTTGGACATAACAGAAACAAAAACCAAAGAACCCACAGACACATATATGAAACCACTACCAAAAACCAAGTGAATAAGCAGTTCCAGTTATAAAAAAACATTAGATCAAACTTACCATCATGTAAGGATCATCTACGATAGGATAAATGTAATCTGTCGTTTGAACCAAGGAAAGACCACCATGCCTCAAAGGAATGACGCACGTATCCATTCCAATGCCTGTGAAGATGGAAGTCATCGGCACCCAAAAACAAAATGGGAAAGCCATGTCATGTTATACAACCATCGTTCTGAACAGGAAGCGCTCTGTATGAGACACTTATGGAACCGCACGCTGCCAATGAAGCCACGTGCTTCCTATCAAGAAGCGTAACTGAAATAAATGTGAAACATAACTAGCTTAAGACAGAAAACATGAATAGAAACTTAGCCATCAAGACTCATATTCAATATGGTGCAATTTTTAAACCTGAATGATGTCTTCAGTAAAAATTTTCTTTTTTACTGTTTTATTTTTTATTGTATTATTTTACTGTATTACTTTATCATGTGAGTGGCACCATATAGAATTTCTTTAAAGATGAGAATAGAATAATTGGAACTTGGGTTGTTTTATGGATAGTTACTTTGAGTACATTGTTAGACATTATTCTATTTTCCCAACAGAAAATTTGTAAGATATTTTACATACAGGAAATGCTGTTACGGGCTGAGTATTCCTTATTCAAAATGTTTAGGATGGGAAGTGTTTTGGATTTAAGATTCTTTTGGATTTTAGAATATTTGCAGAAAACATACCAGTTGGCCATTCCTAATATGAAAATCAGAAATCCAAAATGCTCCAATGAGCATTTCCTTTGAGTTTCATATTGGTGCTCAAAAAGCTTTGGATTTTGGAGCATTTCAGATTTCAGATTAGTGATTCTCAACCTGTACTGCTTTTACATTTTAGCCAAAAATGAAAATGACAAAAATAAAGAAAAAGAAAAGGACAAAGCCAGAAAGAACAGCAATGCATCATTTGCAATCAGGCAGGTATATTAACATTCTGGCCCCTATGTAATCCATTTGTTTTATAGGTTCCCAAGAGCATTATATAAGAGAAAACCTTAAAATTCCATGTTATTCCCCTAGTGAAAAACTTAGAAATATCACCTTTACTACCTTATAATATGAACAGGGACTGGCCTTAAGTTTGCTTTCTCGCCCACTAAAAAAAATTGCTTAATAAGCCTGTTCAAAATATTTCAATTTACTAAAAATTGTTTATAAATATTTAGGAAGATAGTATAGATGGCTTATGGGCTAATTATAAAGAATTCCTTTTTTCCTGAAATCAGTTTTGAAGTAGTCAAGACTAGCTAATGCAGGCTACATTTCTTTAAATAACCTGCAATGCAGACATTTTACATCCTCAGATTGGCGTTCCCATCAAGTAAGCTGAACACAGAGGGTTTCCTACAGCCCTCTTAGGATGGCCTTGTCCCTCTTATGAAGCATTTCCACTCTGCAGCCCAACAGCCACAACAGCAGGGAATAACTCAGGACGAAGGACAAAAGTAAGGAAGTGGGCTCTACCCTGTAAATTCAGGATTCCAAATGAAACAAGAATAAATCATATCTGAATCACATTAAAACAGTCTTTCATATTTTGCATAAGCAAAACTGCTGGGAACAACCATCTCATACAACCACAGTGACAAACCCAGCAAAGGCTGGTCATGGGCACACCTTATTTTTCTTAGTCTTGGTCCATTATTACTAATGCAAAAATAAAATCACATTTAATAAAAAGGCACAGACTGTGAAGACAGGCTGATTTTGACTAGACTAGATGGCAAAGCAGAAACTCTTGGTGGAAGGTCCAGCTAGGGAATGGAGAATTTAATTTCAGAATGGCAAGTCATGGGCACACCTTATTTTTCTTAGTCTTGGTCCATTATTACTAATGCAAAAATAAAATCACACTTAATAAAAAGGCACAGACTGTGAAGACAGGCTGATTTTGACTAAACTAGATGGCAAAGCAGAAACTCTTGGTGGAAGGTCCAGCTAGGGAATGGAGAATTTAATTTCAGAATGGCAAGTCTCACAAATTTGAGACAATAGGACATACTTTACTAGTAATTAGTTTTCATATTTGTCAAACAAGAATATGTGTGATAACGCATCTGAACAGCCTTTCAGAAATTCATGTAACAGAGCTCTTTAGTGACTAAGTGGAAGTAGGGCAAGAACCACACTTCAACTCACATAGATACTTCCTAAATTGATAATTCCAACAACCGTTTATTCTGATTATATTACTACTCACTTTGGAAAACAGTGACATATAGTTTTCATTTGGGGTTCTATTTAAACTATAGGACTGTTGAAAGACACTAAAAACAGTTGCTGAATATTAGCTTTAAATGTTTCTAATTTGGGTAGTCTTAAATTTGAATGAAATATGTCTGATTTGTAAAACACTTTATTTCTATATCTAGCAAGTTCTTTCATCAGGTTAACTGATGACTTGAGCATGTTCCTAGGGCTGAACAGAAGCTCACATTATCCACATTTTCTTTCACAACCGTGACCCTCATAATCTACTAGAATGAGGGTCCAGTGCTTCCAAATAGGGAAGGCACTAGCCACATGTGGTTATTAAATACCTGAAATGTGGCTCCTCCAAACTGAGATGCATTTTAAGTATAAAATAGATGGCAGATTTTAAACACTTAGTACCAAAAAAAACCCCAACATCTCAACATCTCATTAACAATGTTTTATATGTGTTGAAAAGATATTTTTAACATATTGGGTTAAATAAAATACATCAGAATTAATTTTACCTGATTCTTCATTGTTATTTTTTCTTTTTTTAAACTACCAGAAAATTTAAAATTACACATCTGGCTTGCACCATTATTTCTTCTGAACAGCAGTGGTCTAAAGAGATTGGTTTAGAAATCACCTACTGAGGGGCCGGCCTGGTGGTGCACTGCTACAGTGCGCCGCTTGGGAGTGCGGCGGCGCTCCCGCCGAGGGTTCGGATCCCACATACAGACCGGCCGCTCACTGGCTGAGCGAGGTGCGGGCGCAACACCGAGGGTTGCGATCCCGGTCCGGTATGGGCGTGACACTGAGGGTTGCGATCCATTGCCGGTCACAAAAAAAGAAAAAAAAAAAAAAAAAAAAAAAGGAAAAAAAGAAATCACCTACTGGGCTGGCCAGTGAGCTCAGTTGGTTAGAGCATGGTGATGGTAACATCAAGGTCATGGGTTCACATCTCCATATCGCCCAGATGCCAAAAAACAAAACAAAAAACCCAAACAACTAGAAATCCCCTACTAAATCTCAAGAAAGGAAGAGAGAGGGAGTGAGCCTGAGATGGGCCAAGGGCCTTGAAAAAGTAGGGTTTCAAATGGAAAGAGAGAGGGACAGTCCAGGTCGAGCGCAAGCAGGAACTAAAGGAAATGCCATAGAGTAGGAAAGCTTTAAATCTCAGACTGAGCAGTTTGCTTAATTATCAGCGGACAGTGGAGAATTCTAGAAGGTTTTCAGCAAGACTGAAACCCTGCATCACGAAAAATAACCCAAATCACCATACTACCACCACCACCACCACAACCAATCAATATTTAATAGTTCTTAAGCACCAGACAACAGATGTTCCAGATGCTCAGACACTTATTTTAACATTTCTTTACTTTGGATAGATCTAGAAAGCATGTGTACATTTAAAAGTTGTTTTGTCTCATCTCTCAATTAATACCATCTTAGAATCCAGGAAATAGGACATGCAATTAGAAAAATAATTAAAGACAGATAAACATACTGTATGTACATGTGTATATACACATACCTACATACTTACACACTCACACACATATATTTGTTTTGTATTTAAGACAGACAGACACAGTATACGTACACAGAAAATTTCTGGTACTCATGACAATCTCAAACAGTATTATTATCCCATTTTATAGATTAGGAAACTAAGGCTCAAGAGGATTAAGTAATGTGCACAAAGTATTGTTAGTGACTGGTAAGTGACTGTGCTAGGATATGAATCCAGATCTGATTTCAAAGCAAAGTTTTGTCCATTGAAATCCACCACTTTTGCACGAGGTTTTATTACTATGCTTCCTTCACCATCCATTCGCTTCTCACATGTTCTGTCTACCCCCAGGGAATGCCATGAATGAAAAATTTGGGGCATGTGGGGTTTTCTGGGAAAGGATCACAGTTTCACTTCTCAAAAGCCATATATGATCTACTGCTAGTCTGTTGTGTTCTTCTATCTGCTTTTCCCTGCCTCCTTCCTTGCTGTAGGACATCCCTTTCTTTGCCACCGCTAAGAGTTAGGCTGAAGCACCTCCTCTCCCCACTTCTATCACTTGTCCTCTTAGAAACCGGAGGACAAGCAGGATGGCAGGCGGTGTGGACTCCAGGGAGTGACCCTGACTGTGTCCCATGGAATGGGTCACCTTCCTGAGCTTCATGGGCTGCTGGAAGGAGCAACGATCCCACCCACGTTGAAGCATTTTGGGGTGCATGGCAGGCCCTAGTGCTCAAGAGACCAATAGGGGGAAGTTATAAATAGGAATTATTACTTTATCCATATGGGTTTTATTTCATTTGGTTTTGACCATTAAGTAGCTTATTTTTCTTGATACAGTTATCTAAGAACTCCCTCAGTATATCTCAGTCCTTGGCAAGTAAGCCAACATGGAATCTAACTCATTCACCTAGTATTTCTTCACAGCTTAGACATCAGCCAGATGAGAGGGACTGTTTTCAAACTGAGCTCCTGGGAGTCCTGCAGGTTGCTAGAGCATGGGATGTAAATTTTCCTCCCTCCCAACCAAAGCAACTCTGCTTTTACCTGCTTTCTATATTGGGAAAGAAAAGAGTATCCTGGGCTCAAAACCAAAGTAGTAAGACAAGACTTTACAATAAAATAACGGGCAAAAATAAAGGAAATAAAAACCTTGCATAAAAAAGCTGGTAAGTCACACTGTAACTATGGAAGACCCAAACCCCTAAAATATGCAACAAACACCCACAAGGCAAAGTGATCACAGTCTTGCATCATGTATTTAATAAACCATATTTGTACAACGAACACTAACAAACAATATCCCAATAGCCTAGAATTACCTTCTATGTTTAGGACAAGAGAAACCACAAATGACACAAGGGATTTAGTAAAGAAAAAAACAGTGCCCTCAATTCCAGATGACATCCTGGGGTCAACTACAGATTCGTCCAGTCTTCTCCCCTTCTATGTCTGGAGCAGTCCTATTCCCCCTGAAGGAGCTTTTCAACTGATGCACACTGCAGAGGACCCCTCACCCCACACCAGTCACTGTTCTCAAAGTATTAAACATGGTGCTTAAAGCACCACCTTTCCTAGGGCAATGAAGAAAATACATGCACGTTAGGAAAAAGGCATAAATGAGTTTCTGCTCAATCCTCAGCTAACTAGAAAATTCAATTAAATTAGAAAAATTCTTTTACTATAATATAATTACCTCAATTGTAAACCCCATCGTTTAAAAACTGTGAGTACATGTCTTGATGCTTTTCAACTACTTCCTCTAGTAAGTTGCAATACCCTAACGGTTACCATCGGATTGTGCTTTAAATTCTTCTTAGAGAAATTTTTTTTTAAATATTGAAAACAACAACGTGGGAGAGAAGTCTGGTTTTTGACTCACCAACTGGATTGCAGACTATCAAAGAAATGATGGTGTACATACCAAGTCTTGGCATAACGGCTCCCAGAAACTGCTCATCTTCTTGGAAGTGGTTCTCTTGTAAGGATTCCAGCAATTTCTGCAGGACATCTTGGGGAACTTTGCAGCCCGTGCCCTTCAGTTCAGTGAATCTGGTTAGCCGGAAGCTCTTGTCCAATTCATAACTCTCCGGGTTAAAGGACTCCCGCGTAGACATGGTTCTTGGGCCCACACTCCTCACTGCTTAGCCCCTCCCCTCCCTCTCCTGGTTGGCTGGGTTCTTTAGGGATCCACCTAGTTATCACCAAAACACAAAGACACCATTAACAGAATTCAGAAGGTACTTGCCAGCAATCAAGTGAACACATGATAGGGAAAAGTAAATGTGAACAGAGTTTAAATCACCAAGACCACAAGAAAACAGCAATTTGGGGTCACAATACCTTGTTCATCTGTGATACATAAGCCAGAATAAATCACTATAAAAAGGAACTAGACCACCACAGACATTGATGGAAGATGATCTGACAACTGGAGTATGGTTATAACTGTGACTACAAGGGCCAGCAGGCTCACATGACACAGTGCCACCATGAACGGTAGGTAAGTCCCAAAGATTCTTCTGGGCACAGCATTGAAACAGCACAGCTCATCACTTTACCTGTCAACCTGGAAGCACTAGGTCCTAGCTAAAGTGACTTTTCTGGAAAAGGTTTAGATATCTTTTGCTATATCACACAGAAATATAAAATGCCTAATAGAAACTTTGTAGAAAAGAACATTAATGCAAATGTATTTGATGAAATTCCTCAGGATGCTAGATCCTAATTTTAGAAAAACATGTTTTCCCTCCAACCCAGAAGTATACAACAATCCAAAACTAAAAGGAGGCCTCACTAAAGGACACAACTTAAAACTGGAATGGCAGTTTAACACAGCAAGGTTCGTGTTCTTCAAAAGAGCACTTGGAAAGTTCTCTGATGTTTTAATGCAGCTTTATTTCCTAGAAAGCAAACATCCCGCCCAACAAACTAGTACACACATCACTAACAAAATATGCTACTGCTCATTACCATTTCATTGCAGAACTAAAACAATAAATTAAACCACACTAAATCACTAACATTTATGGAACTAGGTACCACCATAAGTTTCTGGAACAGGCCCTTCTACGTTTGAAGCCTTTGGGGCTAACGCAACAACCAACATGTGCTCCTAGGGTTTACAAACCTCCAGATTGATACTTTATTGGGCACAGAATTACAGACATCCCAAGTTTTAGGGTCAGTTTCCCCTATAAAATTCATGATTAAGAACATAATTCCCATTTATAGAGTTTTCCATCCCCTAGGAAGCACATTGCTCATTTAAAAGAAATCTCACAAAGCCCAAATTTGGGCAGCAATCCAAACCTTCGTTACAAAAACATGTTTTGGGATGAGCAATAGTTTCAGTGGGAAACGTACAACTGTACAGGAATAAACCTTTAAACACGGCTCCAAGAAACCAATCGGCCTAAGAAGAGCAGGCGAGGGAGGCACGTTATAAGACACAGGAATTTTGAAGTCATTTTAGAGTTAAGAAAAAGTTCGAATAGCACCTTGACTTGGAAGGGATAGGAACAAAAACAACCAAGTTCTTTCCTCGCGAAATGCCTTGCATTGAACACCAGGAAAAAAAAAAAAAAAAATCCAACTCACGAGGCACGCAGTTATTTTCCTACCTCCAATCCCTATCCCCGCCCCCTCCAAAAGGCAGGGAGGGGAATTTAGGGGACTAACTTCCTTTTAAATTTGTTTTCCCAGATCTTTAAGGGGCGGCGGGGGGGAAGGTCAGTTTAAAACACCTTCGATCAAGAAGGCGCTCAGGAGTTTTACAATTCCAAATGGAGGAGGGTCACAAATCAGAGACTCAAGTCCCCACCTTACAAAAAAATAAATTCTGACATTTTTGGAAGGGATGGAAAGGGGGAGGGGTCCTTGGGGAAATCCGAAGTCATTAATGAAGAGAGGGAGATGTACATAATCTAAGACAGTCAACTCTGACCCAGCAGCCGCATGTTTACACCTTTAAAACAATGACATGAATATTTAAAAACAGCGTTTAACCCTTTCCTTCCCGAGCACGTTTCCATTTTTTTTGAGACGATGGCGCCGCGCGGCCGAGTCAGGGGGTGGGAAGGGCGCGCAGCCCGGGCCGGTACCTACCTAGCCCCACGCCCCCAAGCCCCGGGAACGCACAATGGGGCGGGCCCCGCGCGTGGGCGCCGGGGCCCGGCGCTCTCCATGAAGCCCCGTGTCGCAGGCGGCCAAGCGCGGAGGACGGCACTCGGGGACACCTTAAGTCTCAGACTGCCGCCTTTAAAGGCACAGCAGGCCTGGGCCGCGCTCTTTGTGCCGCGCCGCGCCAGCGGCTGGTCCATGCCGGACC